AGTCAGAGAAACAGGACTACACTGGAAAACAGGCCAAGCTCCAACATCTAGAAACAAAGGTGTTGATGGCAGCAGCACAGCTGATATTTTTCTGATGAAAAAGGGGTCCCTATGTCCTCCAGCAGTCTAAGCCTATAGCAGCAAAAATCTATCTAATCATCTAAAATGATTACACTGAATTTTCTTAGGTATATCAGAGTAGTGGGACTGAATACATATTTATGGTGCTTTTTTTGTTTTATTGCAGAAATACCAAGAATAAAATGAAAAATGTGCGACAGTCTAAGCAGCTTTTAAAAGATAACCCTGCCCTGAGCTCTGAAGTCCAACCTTTCTCCAACTTTACTCCTAATTCTTTATATCTTAACTCTCACTTTGGTAGCTCGGTGATGTTTGATGTGTTTTAAATGGTATGGATTTGCACCATGGCTGACACGGAGTCTCCAGCTCCCTCCTTCGCATAGTCAGAAATTATTATTGACTAGCAAGTTCAAAGAGGAGCTTTCATCTTAATTGCGTCACACATTTCAATTTTATATAACACAGACTCGGCTGGATTTTAAACGCTTTCTCCAAACAGTTGCAGAATACAAATGTACCTATTCAATAAACCCATTTGGGTGGTGTAAACGGCAAACTCACTTCAAGGGAGAAAAAGTTAGCTTGCATTCAGAGAGAGACACGTTTAGACAGCTTCTGTGTCGCCGTGGAGATAGCATTGCTATGAGGATGTCTTATTGCCAATTAAACGGTCAGTTACGTAGCTTTCAGTTTGAACCCTTAGAAGTGTCTACCATGAGCAGACAGAGGTTTATAAGTTCTTAGGGTGGATTTTGTTCACTTTGGATGCATAATTATGAAACAGAATTAAATGTTTATCATTTTCAGAGGTTCCTTTAAGGTGAACTCTGTCTCCAACCTTTAATTTTTCAGAACTGACTACAGCCATATATTCAGCTAAAAACACCAGATCAGATTTTTGTGTATATATTATGGGCAGAGGTGGAAAGAGTACTAAAGAATTGTAATTGAGTAAAAGTACCTTTACTTTGCCTAAATTCTACTAAAAGTAAAATTACACATCTCAAAATTTAATCAAGTAAAAGTACAAAATGACTTCATTTAAAATGTAATTTGAGTAAAAATTACTTAGTTACTTTGAGTTATTTAATGCAAAAAAGGATGAGTCATGAATCAAATTGAGCACAAGGTGTTTTAATCGATGTCAAGGCGTATTTCAGTGGATCTTTAGCCCAGCTGCAAAAGATCAGCTGGGCTAAAGAACATACTTCCTCACAGCACAAGGACAGTCACAACCTGAACCATAAAGTGCAAACTATTTTCAGTCCTACTGTCCAACAGACACCATTATAGGAATAAAGATATTTAAACTACATTTTAAAGTTTTCAAAATGCACACAAAATTAAATGCCCAAAAGATACCAGAAATTAAACAGGGTCCCACTGTTATTAACAAGCTCCTCATTTAATGATTTTAACTGACACTTATTTTTACATCAATTATTTATATGTTTGAATTGTGTAAATAAAGTGCTGTTAAAAGTCAAAAGTCTTCTTCTATTTTTTAATGGCGATTATGTCTCGGGGTTTAAATTTCTGGCCGCATTTAATGTTTTCACCATCAGTATTTTTTTTTTTTTACTCAGTAACCTGAGGGGGTTTTAAATGTAGCAAAGTAATGCTACTTAGGTTAAAATGTACTCGAGTAAAAGTAAAAATTACATATTTCAAAAACTACTCAGAAAATTACAAATTACTCATAAAAAGTACTCAATTACAGTAACGTGAGTAAATGTAATTCGTTACTTTCCACCCCTGATTATGGGAAAGGCTAAGAAATACCATTTTATAGTATTTACACACAAAAAAAAACCAAACAGCCAGGTTTCATAATTCACAAAATGTAAAGAATTGTTGATCACAGGAAGGTTTAACTTGAACATATATTAGAGTTTTTATGTTTGTCTAAAAAGATTATCTGGAAGAAGAATTACAAAGAAACATTTATGTTCTTTCATAAATTAAATAATGTTTAATTATAAATACCAAATGCGGGTAAAGATTCTCAATCATCCAGGTCAGAGTCATTCCAAAAAAGTTAAAATCAATCCACTGGACTTTGTTTCCAAGTTTTAAGACGTTTCTCTTCCATCCAGGAAGCTTTTGCCGGACCAATAGACTTAAGAACTCTTTTGTCCCCCACACCATCAGACTGTACAACGCCTCACTGGGGGGCGAGGAGGCGACACAGGACAGGGGGAAGAGGGAAGGAGCAGCAACACTTGTTTTGTTTTTTTCTGTAAAATGTGAACTCCATATTTATCAGGACAAACCACAAAGTGCAAACCATATTACTGGTCAATCTATCCGCCAAACTCCTCTATTACATACACACAACTCCTATTATAAACTGTGTACTTAATCTCTATTACTTTTTGTATTTTTGTATTTGTATGTGTATTATTTTTTTTTTTTTGCTTAATTTTAACTTAATTTAACTTAATACTTTTTTGCCCTGTAAGCTGCTGGTAACCTTAATTTCCGGAGTGAGTTTTCCCAAGGGATCAATAAAGTTCTGTCTAAGTCTTTTCAATTCAAAATGTCAGAAATAGCGTTTAGTTCCAGGTTTTATCCAGCAGCCCAACAAAGCCTGGTTTTAGTTTAGAAAACATGCAAATTGAAACGAACAAACAGATCCATCCCTTTGGAATAAAGTGGACCCGTTCGTCCTTTAACTTTTTTGGAATATAAATACCAAATCACAAAACTGTTGTTCAGAATAGCATTATTTATTTTAGGTTTCATCAGTATGAGCTTTTTAGATTTTAACCTAAAGACGACGAGTCTTTAGGTTAAAACCTTTAGGAATATCAGGGCATTTGAACAACGTTGTTCCGTTAGATCCTGTTGTGCCACTAAAGATTATAGATGTTGGAGATCGGCCTGTTTTCCAGTGTGGTCCTATTTCTCTGACCGTGACTGAGTGGATGTGCTCTCTTCGTCCTCTGGCATGGGAGCTG